CTCCTGCTTTGGGGAGGAAGTCGGAGCGAGGCCATATGGTTTTCTGGAAGGAAGGACGGTTCTGACTGGGCTGGGTCCGCGGGAAGGGCGGCCTATCTGGGTCACGGGGAAAGCCGTGCTGGTGTCAGGGATAAAAAGCAGCAGCAGGAGAAGAGTGTGGCGTGTGGGTCGTGGACGCCCAGAAAAGGGCCCTGAGCATCCCTCCAGGCAGAGGCCGGATGTGCGGTGCAGGTGGCCTGTTGATGAGCGGGGCACATGCCTGCCCCCCCACCCCGTCTCGAGCCCTGGTGCCCAGTGACGTGCAGTATGAGTCGGAAGGGGCTGGGGTGGGGTTTACCCGCCATGGGTGGACAGGAGGGCGGGATGGACAGCCGGACACGAGGGCTGCTGCTCTGCCCAGCACAGGACGCCACCCGTGTCCTCCCCACAGCCAGCCCGCCGGCCACCAGCCAGGGCAGGAGGGGACAGTGCGGTGTGAGGAGTGTGGTAGGGTGGCAGGGCAGAGATGGAGGGGTCAGCAGGGGGCCCTGGGAGGGCAGTTCCCTCTCTATGGACAGCACTGTGCCTGCCGTGTCCGTGAGTCAGGGTCACCCGCGGGGCCCCTGGCCCACCCCTGTGTCTCGTGCCCCTGCAGTCCCTAAACTCAGCGGGCAGTTGGGAACAGGCTGTTCTGTCTGTCCTCAGGGTCCCCATTCCCCCCAGCAGTCCACTGCACCAGGGCATGCCCCCTGCAGGGTTCCGAGATCAGGGACCGGAAGTGAGGTCACGCCCGAGGCACCGGCCCCAACACCCACGGGCTGCAGGGACCCATCCCGGACCCATCTCGAGCAGCAGGCTGGGGGGAGGGGTCCTGAGAGCCAGGATGGCCAGACCCAGGCTGCGAGGGCAGGTCTGGGGACAGGGAAAACGGTCATCTGTGTGGTCAGAGGCCCCTCTAGCGCCTGGGACACCTGGACTGTCCCCCACAGTGGCGGGGCGACTCCCGCTCGGCCCCCTGGTGCCCACCCGGCCTGCTCAGACACGGACCCTCCTCTCCACACACCGTCCCAGGCCAGAAAACCAGCCTTCGTTTCAGCAGCCTCTTCAGATGGGCAGGAAGTGCCCACCGCCCATTCCCCCCCTCACCAACCCCAGAGTGACCCCCACCCTCCCCCACACAGCCTGACCCTTCAAGCCACACACGCACACAGATGCACACACATGCACACACATGCTCACACACATGCACAATCCCGGCCACAGCCTGACCTCCACAGACTCACATATGCACACACATGCAGACGCACACACATGCGCACACACACACACACTCATACACACGCACAGTCCCACCCGCAGCCTGACCCGCACAGCCACACTCACATATACACACATATGCACACACACATTCATATACACACACAATCGCACCCATGGCCTGACCCCCACAGCCACAGTCACATATACACACATATGCACACACACATTCATATACAAGCACAATCCTGACACCCACAGCCACACACACACACTTCTACACATGCACACACACGCGTGCATGGGTACACACACACTCATACACACGCACAATTTCACCCGCAGCCTGACCCCCACAGCCACACTCATATATGCACACACATTCATATACACACACAATCCCACCCATGGCCTGACCCCCACAGCCACAGTAACATATACACACATATGCACACACACATTCACATACAAGCACAATCCTGCCCATGGCCTGACCCCCACAGCCACACACACACACACACACATACACATGCACACACACATGCGTGCTCAGGTACACACACACAACACACACCCTCTGTCAGCCTCATCTCTGGTTTCTCTGGTGGACACAAGCCTGGCCCTGGGCACCGGAAGACTGGCCCCGGGCACTGGGAGTTGCTGGCGTCTGTGTCCCTGGTCTGCTCGTCCCAGGGTCTCCAGGGAGGGCAGAGCAAGCAGAGACGTGCCGGGCCCAGGGGGCCGCAAGCAGCACGGCGGTAAACAAGCCAGGCGGGACCGGGGAGGGGACGGGGACGGGGCGAGAAGGCCCCTTGCCAGGTCAGCGGCCCCGACTCGGGCAGACGACAGCGGACAAGAGAGTGGGGGACCGAGGGGCAGGGCAGGAGGACAGGCAGTGAAGGACGGGGTGGGTGGTTCGTGGGGGCCTGTGCTCTGCCGCCCCCAGATTCCCAAGAGCCACAGTCCCACCCACCCGACTGGAGGAGGCCCCGGAGCCTGGAGCCGCAGCTGAGTCACCGTCAGAACAGGGCTGCCGGCTCCAGCTGGGTCCCCGCACCCACAGGGCCGGGGCACTCAGCCCAGGGCAGGCGCAGCCCAGACACACGGCCCAGCTACACACACGCAGCCCAGACACACACACAGCCCAGACACACACATAGCCCAGACACACGGCCCAGACACACACAGACCAGTTACACGCACACAACCCAGATATACACACAAGCCAGACATACACATACACACAGCCCAGACACACAGCCCAGATACACACACACAGCCAGACACAGCCCAGTTACACACACAACCCAGTTACACACACAGCCCAGATACACGGCCCAGATACACACAGACCAGTTACATGCACACAACCCAGACACACACACAGGCCAGACACACGCAGCCCAGATACACACACACAGCCAGACACACAACCCAGTTACACACACAGCCCAGTTACATGCACACAACCCAGACATACACAGCCCAGACACACAGCCCAGACACACACAGCCCATACACAAAGCCCAGACACACACACAGGCCAGACACACAGACCAGTTACACGCACACAACCCAGACACACAATTCGCAGCATACACACAGCCCAGAGCACCATAGAACCCAGAAACTCCTGCTCTGGTGCTCCCTAACCATGGCTTCTCTGTCCACTCTCCTCAGCTCAGCCTGGACGTCCCTCCCATCACGGGCGGGTGCCGCCCTGTCCCTTGCCTGGCGCCCAGTACGGTTGCTGTCCACCTCCCGTGACTGACCAGGCGTCTTCCCGCAGGTGCTGCGGCCACAGGAGACAGCCGTGGTCTGCTCCAAGCCCAGCCCTTGGCAGCCGGGAGCAGCCAGCCCAGAAGTGCCCAGCAGAGGGCTCTGAGGGGCCGAGGACGGAGACTCCAACTAGGCAGTCCCCGTCCTCCCTCCAGGAGGTGCTGTCCCAGAGTGTGAGGGCCGAAGGCGTGTGTATTCTCACAGGGATCACGGGCCCACAGGGATCCCCAGAGAGGACAGAGGGCAGCCGTGAGGAACCGTCCACACCCAGTGCCCACCTGCCCCGCATCCAGACTGCCCGTGGGACCCCAGGCTGCCATGGGTGGGAATCCACGGAAGGCGCGAGGCCAGGGGTGAGCTCTGCCTGTCTGCTCCCGGGTTTACCATCCTGGGCGCCCACTGGGCAGAGTATAGGGACCCTCGGGCAGGAGACCAGGAGCCTAGGGGCCTTTTGCAGGACCAGGGAGAATCGTCCTCCCAAGAGGGGTCACCAGCACCTTCCAGAACACCGGGGGGCGCCGTGTCTGGCTCCCTGGGCGTGGCTGCTTGGGGCCCTCACTGTGACCTGTGTCCAGGTGAAGGGGCGGCACCATCCCCCCTGAGCCGCCGTCTGCAGAGATGCCAGCAGGGCGGGGGTGGGGGGATGGGCAGTGAGGCTGGCCGGCGAGAGGGACGGATCCCTGCACCCTGCCTGCTCCGTGCTGGCTGTTCCCTCCGTGAAGCCACCCAGCCATCCCCCAGGGGTCCCTGGGCCTTCTGAAGTAGCACAGACTCAGGGACGGAACCTCTTGGAACCAGCTCATCACTGCCCATCCAGCAGAGCTAGAGGGGCGTCCCCCAGCCCTGGGCCCCACCACCACCGTCCCATCCCACATGTGTCCCATGACACCCCCAGAGAAGCTGGCCTTGGGGTCAGGGCATGGGCCGAGGGGAGGTCCTAGGCCATGTGCAGAGGGGAGGGCCGTCAGCCATGTGCAGAGGACACTGTGCCATGTCCAGAGCATGGGGCATCATGGCCAGCGGTGCTGCTTGGGTATGGGTTCCTCCTGCCCTCAACCCTCCGTGCCCCTCGGTCCGTGACCCCCACATCACCCCGTCTCCCCTAGGTGCCCCTCTGCACCCCCAGCTAAGGACAGGGTGTCCCCAACCCCAGGGAGACAGCGACTCTTGTGGCCCCGACTGGCCCTGGCCGAGTCCCCATCCCTTGTCCCCGCTCTCTGCCTCGTTCCTCCCCGGGGTGGGACGCTGGGCCACCTCACAGGGACTCTGACCTTGGCAGGCGCCACAGAGTGGCCGGGCAGTTCTTCACTGAGGGCAAGGGCCAGTCTCTCTGAGCCCAGCCCAGGGGGACACGGGGGTCGGAGCTCCCGACAGCAGCAGACAGACCCGTTAGAAACCCCTCGTCCTGGGGTCACACCTTGCCTTCTCGTCCCTTCCCCATTCGCTGCAGCATCCGTGCTCCTGCCCACCCGTGGCCCCCGCGGGGACAGTGCAACAGGGCAGCCGCGGCCCCTTCCCTGCTCCGTGGCCGCTATCAGTATTCAGGGTCCTGGGGACCGAACTTCCCCGTGGCCATCCAGCACAAGCTGAGTCCCCCCCCCCCCCCGGCTCTCCATCTCCCCATCACCACCAACTTGTACCACATCTCCAAGTCTCCACAGAACCACCACCACCATGAACGCCCACTTCCTTCCACCCCTCAGGGATCACAGCCCCCCCCCCACCAGACTCACAGCCTACAGCCCCCAGCACACACGGCGCCCACACACGCAGCCCCCGGCACGCACAGCCCTGCCACGCAAACCTCCGACCCGCACACACACAAGCCCCCAGCACACAACAGCCCAGCACACACGGCCCTCGACCCACACAGTGCCCGACACACACAGCCCCCAGCCCACACAGCACCGGCCCACACGGCGCCCGGCCCACCGCCCCCGGCGGCAGCGTGCAGGGCTCCTGCTTGATAGAGACTCTCTCCCCAGGCGTCTGGCAGGAGCAGGACGTGGAGCCGGGAACCCTGGCTCCCGTGGATGAGGCCGTGGGCTCCACAGGCTGGAGCAGCCCCGACAGCCAAGGTGAGACGCAGGGTCCATCACAGCCCGCCAGACCGCAGCAACCTCACCCATCCACACCATCCCACCCCCCTCCGCCACATCTCACCCACCTCCATGCTCGTCCGCCCCGCACCGAGACACGCCGGCCAGACAGCCGCTGGCGTGAGCGCAGGACAGACCCCTGGTGTGGACACAGAGGGGGCCCGCCTGCACGAGGGACCACGCCCTCAGGAGCCCACCTGCCCGGGCACGGAGTCACCGACGCAGAGGTCCAGGGAGGACGTGCGCTTTTATGCAGAGAGGCTTCGTGTGGACTTGGGGTCTTCGCCCCGAGAGCAGAGCGGGCCGGGACGTAGGTGCGGGGCCCGCCGCCCGCTGCCCGCCGGCCCCAAGCCCCTCCGGTCAGTCGGGGCCTGGGAACTTCATGTTTCACTTTCCACGTTTCCACGGTTTTCTGAACATCTGTCTTGGGGGAGGGGAGCGGGGTCCTGGCATCTAGAACGCCCACACCTGCAGTGAGGCTCCAAGGTGCCCTTGCCCGTGAGGGGCCCCCAGGGCACCTGGGGCCAGACCTGTTGGAAGTGCTGCAGTGTCCAGCCGCGTCTCACCGGGCAGCCGCACCCCAGCCCCGAGGCCCCGTCTCTGACCCTGCGACGAGGGGGCTGAGTGGGGTCGGTGTCTGGCTTCCTTCAGCCCAGACCTCCTGCGGTAGGCGCCCTCGGTGTGCGCGTGGGACACTGAGTTGAGACCGGCCGTGGGCACGAGGCTACACTGGGTGGGGAGCGGCCAGAGGGGACCCGGTGCTGAGGGGCGGGAGGTGGTGGTCGGGGGGGAAAACGTCGAGAGTCCGGGGAAACTGCTTCTCTGCGTCCTGCCTGTGTGTGTCTGAGCAGTTGTTTTCCTGCAGCGAGTGTCCAGCTGGTTTGCCTGCGGAACTGGGCACCAGACAGCCTGCGCTGGGGGCAGCCTGGGGTGCTCAGGGTTAGCAGAAAGTGGGGCTGCAGCACTGGGCAGAGCCACACTGCCCCCCGTGCCGATCTGTACCAGGCCACGCGGCTCCTGAGCCACTCTATATCAGGCCACGCCACACCTGAGACACACCACTTCCACATCACGCTGCAACCAGGCCACTCGAAACCCAGGCCGCACTGAACCTGGCCCACGCTGCACCCAGGCCAGGCCACATTGCACCTAGGTCACACCGCACCCGGCCACGCTGCACCCAGGTCGCACTGCACCCAGGCCGCACTGCTCCTGGGCTGCGTTTCTGGGGTCGGCCAGGAGACCAGGCAGCCCCCACCTCTGTCCTGCCTGCAAGCTCAGAGACAGCGTCTGGACTGTGGATGAAGCGGAACGGGGAGGGGTGGAGGGCGCGTTTCCAGGACTTAGCCTGCTCTGCTCCTGCAGACAGTCAACCCTGGACGTCCGACGAGACGGTAGTGGCTGGGGGCACCGTGGTACTCAAGTGCCAGGTACGGGAGCACGAGGACTCCTCCCTGCAGTGGTCCAACCCCGCCCAGCAGACGCTGTACTTCGGGGAGAAGAGAGGTAACCCAGCACGTCCTCCGGGAGGGAGGGGACCGGAACGTGGGTGGTCCGGGGTCCCAGGTGACCTCCCCTCGTGAGGTCAGGAGGTCCCACCCTCCCGCCCCTGCGCAGGGCCCTCAGGCCAGGTCCAGCCCCGGTGCCGAGGGAGGCCCGGGAAGGGAGTGCAGGACAGTCCTGCACCCAGGGCCGGGGGCGGGGCTGGGTGGACGGTGTGTGACGCCGCGTGCCCGGCCCAGCCCTCCGAGACAACCGGATCCAGCTGGTGAAGTCGACGCCCCACGAGCTCAGCATCAGCATCAGCAGCGTGGCGCTGGCGGACGAGGGCGAGTACACCTGCTCCATCTTCACCATGCCCGTGCGCACCGCCAAGTCCCTGGTCACCGTGCTGGGTGAGTGGCCACCCCCGGGGCCCCGTGCAGTACAGAGGGAAGCACCTCCCACCCCTCCTCGACCCTCCCAGGTGCCGTGCCCACCCGTTTCGGCACCGTGAGCTGCACCCTTGGCCCTCGAGGGGCCCTGCCCAGGGTCTCCCTCTCAGCCCCCTGACGGGGTCACGGCCGCCCTCCTGCGTGAACCCCAGAGCACGGGGGTCCCGGGTGGGGAGACGGGCGTGACGTCCCTCCGCCGGCCTGTTGGACAGGAATCCCCCAGAAGCCCGTCATCACTGGGTACAAGTCCCCGCTGCGAGAGGACGAGACCATCACGCTCAACTGCCGCTCTTCCGGAAGCAAACCCGCGGCCCAGCTCAGCTGGAGGAAGGGGGGTCAGCTGTTGCAGGGTACGTGCTGCTGCCGGGGCGGGAGCCCTGTCCGTCCGTCTGTGTCTGCCATCTGTGTGTCTGTCTGCCCTGTCTGTGCGTCTGTCTCTGTCTGCCCTGTCTCTGTGTCTGTCTCTGTGTCTACCCTATGTGTCTGTCTGTCTCTGCCTGCCCTGTCTGTCCTGTCTCTGTGTCTGTCCTGTCTGTCTGTCCGTCTGTCTCTGTCTGCCCTGTCTGTGTGCCTGTCTCTGTGTCTGTCGTCTGCCCTGTCTGTCTGCCCTGTCTGTGTGTCTCTCTCTGTGTCTACCCTGTCTATGTGTCTGTCTGTCTCTGTCTGCCCTGTCTCTGTGTCCTGTCTGTCTGTCCGTCTGTCTTTGTCTGCCCTGTGTGTCTGTCTGTCTGTCTGTCTGCCCTGTCTGTGTGTCTATGTGTCTGTCCTGTCTGTCTGTCCTGTCTGTCCGTCTGTCTCTGTCTGCCCTGTTTCTGTGTCTACCCTGTCTGTGTCTGTCTGTCTGTCTGCCCTGTCTGTGTGTCTGTCTATGTGTCTGCCTTGTCTGTCTGTCTGTGTGTCTTCCCTGTCTGTCTGTCCTGTCTGCCCTGTCTGTGTCTCTCTCTCTGTGTCTACTCTGTCTATGTGTCCGTCTGTCTCTGTCTGCCCTGTCTGTGTGTCTGTCTCTGTGTCTACCCTCTCTGTGTGTCTGTCTCTCTCTCTCTCTCTGCCTTGTCTGTCTGTCCTGTCTCTGTGCTGCCCTCTCAGTGTGTCTGTGTCTGTGTCTGCCCTCTCTGTGTGTCTGTCTGTGTGTCTGCCCTGTCTGTCCTGTCTGTCTGTCCTGTCTGCCCTGTGTCTCTCTCTGTGTCTACTCTGTCTATGTGTCCGTCTGTCTCTGTCTGCCCTGTCTGTGTGTCTCCTGTGTCTACCCTGTCTATGTGTCCATCTGTCTCTGTCTGCCCTGTCTCTGTGTCTGTCTCTGTGTCTGTCCTGTCTGTCTGTCTCTGTCTCTGTCTGCCCTGTCTGTCCTGTCTCTGTGTCTGTCCTGTCTGTCCATCTATCTCTGTCTGCCCTGTCTGTGTGCCTGTCTGTGTCTGTCGTCTGTGTGTCTGTCTGCCCTGTCTATCTGCCCTGTCTGTGTGTCTCTCTCTGTGTCTACCCTGTCTATGTGTCTGTCTGTCTCTATCTGCCCTGTCTCTGTGTCCTGTCTGTCTGTCCGTCTGTCTCTGCCTGCCCTGTCTGTGTGTCTGTCTCTGTGTCTACCCTGTCTGTGTGTCTGTCTGTCCTGTCTCTGTGCTGCCCTCTTGGTATGTCTGTCTCTGTGTCTCTGTCTGCCCTCTCTGTGTGCCTGTCTGTGTGTCTGCCCTGTCTGTCTGTCCTGTCTGTCTGTCTTGTCTGCCCTGTCTGTGTGTCTCTCTGTGTCTACCCTGTCTGTGTGTCCATCTGTCTCTGTGTCAGTCATCTGTGTGTCTGTCTGCCCTGTCTGTCCTGTCTGTCCTGTCTGTCTGCCGTCTGTGTGTCTGTGTGTCTGCCCTGTCTGTCTGTCTGTCTTTCTGTGTCTGCCCTGTCTGTCAGTCCTGTCTGTCTGTCTGTCTCTGTCTGCCTACTCCCCGTGTGTCTGTCTACTCTCTGCGCATCAGACAAGAGTAGAGAGCAGGAGGGCAGCAGGTCACCTGGGGACACTCGTGTGTGCTCACATGTGCTTGCACGTGTGTGCCATGTCTGAGCACGTGTGCTGCTGGTGTCAGTGTGCTCTCTCCTGCGTGTGTGCAAGGCTGTGCGTGCATGCGTGTGTGCGTGCACGCGTGCCCATCGCCCCCTGCTTCAGAACGTCTCAGGCACTCGCAGTCTGCAGGCCGCAGGGCTCACCTGTTCTGTGCCTGCCCCTCAGGAGAACCGACCCGGATCCAGGAGGACCCCAACGGGAAGACCTTCACCGTCAGCAGCTCCGTGACCTTCCAGGTGTCGCGGGAGGATGACGGGGTGGACATCGTGTGCGCCGTGAAGCATGAGTCCCTCAAGGGCGCCGACCGCTTCACGACGCAGCGCATTGAAGTCCTGTGTACGTCAGGGCTGCGGGCATGACGGAGGGGGGCCCATGGCCAGGGGCAGCTGCCCGCTGGTGCCTGGACTCAGGGGCCGCCTCTCCCTCCAGACACACCCACTGCCATGATCAGGCCGGACCCCCCGCACCCCCGCGAGGGCCAGAAGCTGCTGCTGCACTGCGAAGGCCGAGGCAACCCCGCGTGAGGACCTACCGCCTGCCCGTGCTGGCCCACCTGCCTGGGGCCCACCTGCCTGGGGCCCACCTGCTCAGGCCCACCTGCCCGGGGCCCACCTGCCTGGGACTCACCTGCCCAGGGCCCACCTGCCCGGGGCCACCTGCCTGGGACTCACCTGCCCAGGGCCCACCTGCCCGAAGCCCACCTGCCCAGGATTCCCTACCTGGGGACTCACCTGCCCCGGGACCCACCTGCCCAGGGCTCAGTTGCCCTGGGCCCCACCTGCCCCGGCACTCACCTGCCCTGGGTCCCACCTGCCCCAGGACTAACCCACCTGGGGGCCCACCTTCCCCGGGACTCACCTGCCTGGGCCCCACCTATCTGGGGACCCACCTGCCCAGGATTCACCTACCTGGGGCTCACTCACCTGCCTGGGGCCCACCTAACTGGGGACCCACCTTTCCTGGGACTCACCTGCCCCGGGGCCCACCTGCGGGAACCCACCTGCCCAGGATTCCCTACCTGGGGATTCACCTGCCTGGGGCCCACCTGCCCAGGGCCCACCTGCCCCGGGGTCCACCTGCCCAGGGACTCACCTGCCTGGGGCCCACCTGCCTGGGACTCACCTGCCCAGGACTCACCTGCCCAGGGCCCACCTGCCCAGGATTCCCTACCTGGGGCTCACTCACCTGCCTGGGGCCCACCTACCTGGGGACCCACCTGCCTGGGGCCCACCTGCTGGGAACCCACCTGCCCAGGACTCACCTACCTGTGGGCCCACCTGCCTGGGGACCCACCTTCCCCAGGACCCACCCGCTCAGGCCCCTGGGGGCCACGTGAAGCCAGAGCATGCCGGGAGCGCGCCCTCTAGCCCCAACAGGACCCACGGTGGGCGGCCTGGCGGGGGGCGGGCGGAGGTGGGTGGTGCTGAGCTGCCGCCCCCGCCCGCAGCCCCCAGCAGTTCCTGTGGGAGAAGGAGGGCAGCCTGCCGCCCCTGAAGATGACGCAGGAGCGCGCCCTGGTCTTCCAGCTGCTGAACAAGAGCGACAGCGGCACCTACGGCTGCACGGCCACCAGCAACATGGGCAGCTTCAAGGCCTACTACACGCTCAACGTCAACGGTAGGTGGCGCCCTGCCCCTGTCCTCCCACGACCGTCCTCCTGCCCATCCCGCCCCTCCCCCGACCCCCTCCACGTGTGGCTGCTCAGTGCTGACACCTGGTGGAGCCATGAGTTACTGCAGCCCGTCCTGCAGGGTACCTGAACCCTGACCTAGGCCATCTCCCTGGGGCCTGGGAGCGACAATGAGGACCCCAGAGGTCTCCCGGCCCTGGAACCGTTTGCTTCTCCAGGGGTGCCCCCCCCCACAGCCTCTGTGTGACCCCGGGTTGGTTTCCTGGGGTCTGCATTTCGAGCTCCCTGAAGAAGTGGGTGCGTGAGCCCCACACCGGTCCACTCCCGGGTCAGCGTCCAGTTTCTAGTCCACGTGCAGAAACAGGGGGACATGGAGGCATCTGAGTGAGGGAAACACAGCCTGGTGGGGCCAGTGGGAGCTTCTGTGGTATGGAGCACGGGCACCGCTCTGGGTACCACATGGAACCCGGGACCCACACGGAACCTGGGACCCATATGGCACCCAGGGCCCACACAGTGCCAGAGCCCACATGGCACCCGGGGCCCACTCTATCCCACTCTATCACACCGTGGCCACAGGAGGGCGCCCAAGCAAGGGGCTGAGGCAGGCATTCCCCAGAGTTCCTGACACTCTGGCCATGCTGAAAGCACGCGGTCCCTCCTCATCCCTGCCCAGCTGGCCAGTGCAAGAGGACGTGGGCAGGGGGTAGCAGACCAGGACTCCCTGCCTGAGGCGTTGCTCCTGCAGACATGGGGGACAGGTCGCTGTTTCGGTGTGGCCCTGACCGAGCTGGAGGAGCAGGAGCAGACGGGGAACGAGAGGCGCCTTCCCGCACCCTGGTCTGACCCTCCACGCCCAGGGTCAGGCTTAGGGGCTCGGCGGGAGGGCTGAGGGGAGCGGATGGGTTTATCCCTTCATCCACGAACACACCCGTCCCCTGACGCTGCTCAGAGACCAGGGTGCAGCCCAGAGCCACCCTCACCCCCACCCCAGAGAAGCGCCTTCTCGGAGAGGCCGCCTCCCCCCCACGCCCGGGGTCTGAGTCTGGCTCCTCAGGGCCTGCCCTGACCCTGTGCCCCTCCCACAGACCCCAGCCCGCTGCCCTCGTCCCCTAACAACTACCACGCCATCATCGGCGGGATCGTGGCGTTCGTCGTCTTCCTGATGCTCATCCTGCTTATCTTCCTTGGCCACTACCTGATCCGGCACAAAGGTGGGTACGCGGGCGCAGGGGACGGTGGCAGCAGCCTGCAGGGAGGACAGCACCCCCCTCCCGGGCCAGGGCCAGGCCTGGGCTCAGCGCCCCCTCCTGCTCCCCCCACCGTGCTGCCCACCCCAGTCTCCTGGGCGGCCCCCGGAGCTGACCGGGAGAGTCACACTGCTCCCACACGTGCGCACGCCACACACACACATGCTCGCTCACGGTCCAGACCGGAACACGCAGCCACGAGAGTGTGTAGCGATGGGCTCACGCCCACGTGGTCACACGCACACCCGTGCCCACACACAACACGCAGATATCCTCACAGGGGACACGCAGTCCCACACGACATGCACACACGTGTGCCCTGCAGATGCATGAGTGTGCACAGCAGAGCACGCGGGGAGAGAGTGCCCTTCCGTGGCCTGTCTCCTCTTACAGCGGGGCTGGGCCTGTGGCTGGGGGGACGCTGAGGCGGGCACCCTCCTGACTGCGGCCTCTCGGCAGGTACCTACCTGACTCACGAGGCGAAGGGCTCCGACGACGCCCCGGACGCAGACACGGCCATCATCAACGCAGAGGGCGGGCAGGCAGGCGGCGAGGACAAGAAGGAGTATTTCATCTAGAGCTGTGCCCGCCCGGGCCCGGGGCACTGCCAGGCCTCCACCAACGGGACTTGTACAGAGCGACCTCGGCCGCCCTCCCGCTTGCTCCCCGGCCCCCACCCCTGTACAGAATGTCTGCTTTGGGGGGACGGTTTTGTACTCGGTTTGGAATGGGGAGGGAGGAGGGCGGGGGGAGGGTGCCCTCAGCCCTTTCCATGGCTTCTCTGCGTTTGGGTTCTTCTTATTTTTGTAACAATCCCAAATCCGATCCAACTCCGGGCTGGAGCAGGGGCCCTGGGCGGAGGCGGGGGAGGTAGGAGCTGCCGCCCCTCGGACTGGACAGGGAGGCCCGCCCGAGCCCTGGGCCGCGCAGTGGGGGGACGGGACGGTGCAGCCCCACGGGGGCTCCCGGGTACCACCCGCCCGTGCACGCGGAGGAAGCCACTCAGGGCCAGCCGCGGGAGAGAGGCAGCACCCAGCCCGCCCAGCCCTGGCCTGATGCACGGTCCCGCCCGCTTCCCCCTGCGCAAACTCCGCGTCCAGAGGCAGCTGCAACAAGAATACTCAAGGCTTTGTGCTCAGCGCGGTTTTCTGCCCCCACCCCCCAGGGAGGGTGCGGACACCTGTGCCCGCGTGTGTGTGTGTGCATGGAACATGCAGTCCCGTGTGTGCGCGTGAGAGGCTGGCGCGTGCCTGTCCGTGCCACGCGCCCGTGGGAGGGCCGGCCGAGGTGACCGTGTCACGGAAGGGGAGGGGGCCCCGCTGCCCCTCGGCCGCTGGCCGTCCCTCCCTGAGCAGGGCGCTCGGCCCGACGTGGCGGGAGACGTGTCCTTTGCTAGGCAGCCCAGGCTCCCGCGGCCCCTGACCTAGAATGACCATCGCGCACCCCCCGGCCTGTGCGGGGGCCGCTGCCCTCCATCCTGTCCTGTCTTCCAGGCGGGGGAGTGGGGGCCGCGGCCGCAGGCTGCTCTCCCCGTCGTCCCCCGTGTGTCCCCGCAACCCCGGGGGGCGCCCGTGGGGGCTACCTCTCAGCTCCGCCCTCCCCTTCAGGTACTGCCCTGCACGCCGGGCACCGGACCCTCTCCAGCGGCGGGCGGGGGGCCCCGCCGGCTCCAGCACCCGCTTCGGGAACGGACTTTCCCTTGAGCTGAAACACACTCTGTCCATATTACACAGAAGCCATATTTGTACGGGCGGGGGGTCTGTGCTGTGCGTGTCTGTCGTGGGGTGCGGGAGGGTTGTGTATCTTTATAATCTTTCTAACCCTGTGCTAATCTCGAGGGGCCTCCCTCAATATATCTGGTCACCGTGTCCTCGGGCCTCGTCCTTCTGTGCGTGTGCGGGGCCAACAGCCCCGGGGGCCCTGCCCTGCCCACTCACACCCGGGAACACTGCCCTGTCCACTCACCCGGGGGTCCTCCCCTGTCCACTCACCCGGGGGTCCTCCCATGTCCACTCACCCGGGGGTCCTCCCATGTCCACTCACCCGGGGGTCCTCCCATGTCCACTCACCCGGGGGCCCTCCCCTGTCCATCACCCAGGGGTCCTCTCCTGTCCACTCACCCGGGGGTCCTCCCCTGTCCACTCACTCGGGGGTCCTCCCATGTCCACTCACACCGGGGGCCCTCCCCTGTCCATCACCCAGGGGTCCTCTCCTGTCCACTCACCCGGGGGTCCTCCCCTGTCCACTCACCCGGGGGTCCTCCCCTGTCCACTCACCCGGGGGTCCTTCCCTTTCCACTCACCTGAGGGTCCTCCCCTGTCCACTCACCTGGTGGTTCTCCCCTGTCCACTCATATCGGGGGTCCTCCCCTGTCCACTCACCTAGTGGTCCTCCCCCGTCCACTCACATCGGGGGTCCTCCCCTGTCCACTCACACTGGGGGTCCTCCCCTGTCCACTTACCCGGGGGTCCTTCCCTTTCCACTCACCCAGGGGTCCTCCCCTGTCCACTCACCTGGTTCTCCCCTGTCCACTCACATCGGGGTCCTCCCCTGTCCACTCACCTAGTGGTCCTCCCCCATCCACTCACATCGGGGGTCCTCCCCTGTCCACTCACACTGGGGGTCCTTCCCTGTCTATTCACACCGGGGATCCTGTCCACTCACCCGGGGGTCCTCCCCTGTTCACTCACACCAGAGGTCCTCCCCTGTCCATCAAGGGGGGGGTCCTGCCGCGTCCACTCACACCCAGGCCCTGTGACTGGCCGTGACATCCCGTGGGCATCCCCAGGAGGGATCCGGGAAAGGAAGGTCTCACCCCTGGGTGGGGGCTTCACCCTGTGGGCCCGGGCCCCACAGACAGGAGTGGAGGGACACGGCCAAGGTGGGCACGCGGACTCCAAACTCGCCTCCCAGCCCCACGTGGTGCTGGGTCTGCCCCTCCCACACCCTACACCCGGGCACGGGCACTGCTGCCAGCTCATGACCCGTGACGGCCCTTCCTAGCCTGGTCTCCACGCCTGAGAGGCGGAGTTACGGGGGTCCTCTCCCAAGGGGCAGAGCAAGCACGGGGGTGGGGGGGCCTTTCCTCCACCCCGAGGGGCCATGGGCTGAGCAGAAACACCGGGGCTGGTCCCTCCCACCCCACGCAACTGGCACTGAGTGGCTGACCCTTCCCCTAATCAGGGACCCTCAGATGGGCCGTAGATTCTCCCTGGATCAGGGACCCTCAGACTGGTCATAGACCCTCCCTGGGTCAGGAACCCTCAGATGGGCCATGACCTCCCCTGGGTCAGGCACTCTCAGACTGGCCGTAGACCCTCCCCGGGTCAGGGACCCTCAGACGGGCCATAGACTCTACCTGGGTCAGGGACCCTCAGACTGGCCATAGACCCTCCCCGGGTCAGGGACTCTCAGACTGGCCATAGACCCTCCCTGGGTCAGGGACCCTCAGATGGGCCATGATCTCCCCTGGGTCAGAGACCCTTAGACTGAACTAGACCCTCCCTGGGTCAGGGACCCTCCACCATGGCCTGCCCCCCGCCCCCCCCCAGTCCTGCCAGTGCCTGGGGTAACTGTCCCCCAGGGACCCCCACAAGGGCCTGCTGTGCCCCCCATAAGCCTTATCTGTCCCCACACCTGGCGCTCAGCCCCCTTCCCCCCCTTCCTGCTCCTCCCGTGCTGGGTCTGGGAAGCCCCTGGACACCCCCCCCAGGTTTGGGGAAACTCACTTTCTGGGCCCCCCTTCTTCCTTCCTGAGAGCAGGCCCACCCGGGCTGACCTGCAGCCTCCGAACAGGAAGCCAGTCCTGCCCTCTGGGCGGGCGGGCACCGAGGGCGTGGGGATGACTCCCGGAACCCCTCCCGCCAGCTCCTCAGCCCTCCCGGACCCCCCCCTCGGGGTCCGCACTTATCTCCCAGCCGCAGCCACAGACACAGCCCGGGCCGGAGCAGACACATGGGGAACTGCCTGCAGCCGGTAAGCAGAGACCCTGCCCGACCCTGCGCCTCGACACTGCGCCCCAACCCTGCCCGACTCTGCGACCCTACCCTGCGCCCCTACCCTGCCCAACTCTGCGCCCCTACCCTGCCCGACCCTGCGCCCCTACCCTGCGACCCAACCCTGCCCGACTCTGCGACCCCGACCCTGCGCCCCTACCCTGCACCCCAACACTGCCCAATTCTGCGCCCCCGACCCCATGACCCAGACCCTCTGCCTCCAACCCTGTGGGACCCTGCGGCCCGAACCCTGCCCCAACCCTGTGCCCCCAGACCCTGCCCGACCTTGCACCCTGACCCTGCTGGACCCTAACCCCAGACCCTGCTCCAACCCTGCGCCCCCGACCCTACGCCCCTAACCTGCCCGACTCTGCGCCCCCGACCCTGCGCCCCTACCCTGCCCGACTCTGCGCCCCCGACCCTGCGCCCCTACCCTGCCCGACTCTGCGCCCCCGACCCTGCGCCCCTACCCTACCTGACTCTGCGTCCCAGACCCTGCGCCCCCGACCCTGTGCCCCTACCCTGCCCGACTCTGCGTCCCAGACCCTGCGCCCCTACCCTGCCCGACTCTGCGCCCCCAACCCTGCGCCCCTACCCTGCCCGACTCTGTGCCCATACCCTGCCCAACTCTGCGCCCCCGACCCTGCGCCCCTACCCTGCCCGACCCTGCGCCCCGGACCCTGCGACCCCGACACTGCGCCCGGATCCTGCCCGACCCTGCGCCCCTATCCTGTGCCCCAGACCCTGCCCGACTCTGCGCCCCCGACCCTACCATCCAGACCCTGTGCCCCCGACCCTACGGGACCCTGCGCCCCGAACCCTGCCCCAACACTGTGCCCCCAGACCCTGCCCGACCTTGCACCCTGACCCTGCCGGACCCTAACCCCAGACCCTGCCCCAACCCTGTGCCCCAAGCCTGTCCAGACCCTGACCCCTAGCCTCTGCCCTCAACCCTGGATCTTCCCAACCCTGTGCCCCTCAAGCCTGCCCCCCCAGACCCTGTACTCAGCCCTGCACCCCCAGACCCTGCCACAGCCCTGCCCTCTCCCCCTCTCCCCTCCCTGCACCGCCTCCCTCCCTTGTGCTCCCACCCCGCCCCGCAGCTGCCCTCGCACGACTCCTCAGCCCCGACCCGTTCCTCACTCCCGGGCACCTGCCATGCCCTGCCTGGTGCCCGTCCTGCAGGTGTCCCTGACCCTGGCCGACAACTCCAGCCAGCAGGACTGGGGAGGGTTCTTCACAACGGAGGAGCTGGACCAGCTCATCTACGACTACGAGGACAGCGTGAACGACAGCGACGTCGCCGCGGCTGCGCCCTGCCACTCCTGCAACCTGCTGGACGCGTCCTCGCTGCCCTTCTTCCTCCTGCTCAGCGTCCTGGGCCTCCTGGCCAACGCTGCTGTCCTCTCCGCCCTCCTCCGGCCCCTCTTCCGCTGGCGGCGCTGTGCTGACCGGCCCATCCTGGCGCAACTGGCCGCGGGCAGCGCCCTCTTCAGCCTGGCACTGGCCCTGCTCGCACCAGGGCTGGGCGGTGCCCGCCCGGCCCCCCTGTGCCAGTTCGCCCACCTGGCTTGGCACAGCTCGGCCTTTGCCCAGGCGCTGCTGATCACCAGCCGGGCCTGTCTGGGGCCCCGGCTGGGCGCAGGCTGGTTCCTGCGCCTGATCCCGGCGGCTGTCTGGGCTGCGGCCATCGTGCTGGGGCTGCCCAGTGCCCTGACCAGTGACTCCTCCGAGGGCTCCTGCCCCCCGGGCCAGGGCTGGGGGCTGCTTCACAAGCTCCACGTCTCCTCCTGCTGGGGTCTCTTCGTCCTGCTGCCTCTGGGCCTGCTGGGCGCCAAGGGACTGAAGAAGGCCCTGGGCAAGGGGCCGTGCCCGCGGGTGGACGTGCTGTGGATCTGGTTCATTTTCTGGTGGCCGTATGGGGTGATGCTGGGAGTGGACGACCTGGTGAGGTCCCAGGTGGTGGTTATACGGTTATGCCAGGCCCAGCAGGCCCAGGACCTGCTGCTGCAGCTGGCCGAAGGCCTGGCCATGGTGCACTGTGTGGCCACCCCCTTGCTGCTGGCCCTGGCCTGCCACCGGGCTTCCCACCTTGCCACCCCACCGTTGCCGCCGGCTCCAGCTCCCCGCCCGGACGCCCTTGTAGGCAAAGCCTAACCCAATAAAGTCTGTCCTGCTTCCCAGGACTGCTCTCCTCCTGGTCTTTCACGCGCGATGGGGGGGGGGGGGGGGGGGGGGGGGAGAGGCCATCCTGAATGCCGGCGCTGTCCCTGTCGAGCCTGACAGGTGACCAGGGCTCAGCGCTGCTGCCCCTCAGTCTCAGGGACGTGGTGCCAGGGCCCAGCCTCTCCGGGAGGAGCAGCGGGAAGCGGCACTGAGGACCTCCCCAAGCCCCAGGCCCTGCTGCCGTGATCATGCTGACACCCGGGGTCCTGGGCCCCTCCTGGGTTCCTGAGTCACGGGACCCTGCAAAGCCACCTCCAGGCACCACCTCGAGGCTGGCCCAGAGGACCCTGGTGCCAGGGCTGTGGGCTGGGGCTCCAGCTGCCCCACCAGCGTGTCCCACGAGAGGGACGCGACAGCCTCCAGGCGAGGGGCGTTTCTGCTCAGAATGTCCCGTTCTGGGGTGACCCCCACAATCGCAAACATCACGCCCAACCTCGCGGTCCCGGGCCCTCCGGGAGCTTTTTATTGCCCACCCCGGCCCCGAGCTGGTCCCCGGAGCCCCCAGGCCTTCTGCGCCTGAGCCCTGAACCGTCTGCTCTGCCCTGGGCTTAGCAGGTGGAGTGACAAAGACCCGGCGCCTCCGCCCATCTCCCGTCTCCTAGCAACCAGTAGGCCAGCTCTGATTGGTGCTTCCGAGCGGGAGGCAGGGACCTGGGGAACGCGAGCGGATCCAATTAGAGAGAAGGAGCGGGGCCGCTCTGGACCTCTTTTGTGGTGCCTGAGGGTCTAAGGCTCCCGGAGCGGCTGGATTGGAGCTGGCCCCGGAGGGAGGAGAGGGCCTTCCCCTGCTCCGTGATGTTATCCGCCCCACGGCAGGGCAGCTCACCCCTCTGGGGGGGAGGGAGCCGGCAGAGGCAGGCTGCTGATAAGGAAAGGGGGGCCGTCCCCTCCCACCCCCTCCTGCCCCAGCTCTCAGGCCTTATCTCGTTTCCCTCTCTCCCCAAGCTGGGGAATGAATGAACGCCAGGGCATCCCGGGTCCCTGGCCCTCTCCCACCCCACCCAGCCTCCACCCACCCCTTCCCGAGAGCCTGGACGGGGCGTCCTGGGAGCAGCTCCAGGAACAAAACCAGCGCCCGGCACAGCCGCTATGTGGAGCAGGGCAGAGTGTCCAGCGGCCAAGACACCCTGGGGAAGACACTCAGGGAATGTGGGGGACACAGAGCTGGCCCTGTGACCCCCCCCCCCACACACACGCACTCTCCCCCGCCTTCCTTCAGAGGACTCACACCCCCACCCCCACCCCCTGCCCCGCAGCCTAAACCCACGCGTGGTCAGTGATTGCATGCAGATGGACGCCACCCCACGGCCCAGTCAGACTCAACCCCACTCCCAGCAGTGCTGCCCATGGATGGGTATAGCATGGGTGACCCAGCTCAGCTCTGGGGCTCTTCAGGGTGCAGGGGCAGGTACTAATTGGTCAGTAGAGGCGTCTCCAGCCAAAGGCCTTTGGACAGCAGGGACTCGCTGTAGGGCGTCCTGGGTGGGCTCTGCCTTTCACACCCAGGGGTGCTGTCCCCCACTGTTTTTTGTTAGCTGGCTTGTCTCAGAGAAAGAACCGCACCCCAGCTGAGCTGTGCCCCTAATCCCCCCTCCAGTGGTCACCTGCTCCAAGTCCTCTCCACGGGGCAGTTCCAGCCCCAGACCCCGACGCCTCCACTTCCCTGGGGCTCCGTGCCAGGGGTAATTATAGGCTATCCTGCACCCGACCTGTGGTCTCAGCACCTGCCGCCCCACAGGACTCTTCCTCCCGGAGTCTCGGGGCCACCACTGGCGACCACCACCTCCATCCTGGGGTCTCGGAGACCCCCCTCCAGCGCCCTCATCACTGACTGACCCTGCAACTCAGGGCATGTCAGCTCATCTGCAAGCCCAGCAGGCATCCTGCGTCCATGCTGGTACTGTTCTACCCGTCACTGCCCCCGGCCCAGAGCTCAGAGAGCCAGGATGTGGCCTCCGGGGCAGGCCGGGCAGCAGGTGTGGGCAGCAGGTGTGTCCCTGCTGAATCTTGCATGATGGGGCGGGACCCTGGGCTTCCCTCTCTTCCCTCCGAGCTGGGCACAGAAACAGCCTCGGGGCAGCCCCGTCCTCCCGCCCCACACCTGTGCTGGGGCCCCAGGGTGGGGGGCGATGGCAGAAAGTCACCCCCCAAACCCCGGGGCGGGGTGCGGGGGAGGGGGGGCGGCTGCTCTGCGGACTCCACCCAGTTCTGGAGCAAGAGCTCCGCCTCGTGGCCATGCCCTGCCACTGCATGCTCGCCACACCCAGCGGAGACCCCCTAGGACCAAGCAGGACCTGAGATGGAGCCCGCCGCCTTGCAGGGGTGGGTCGGGTCCTGCCGGAGTTCCCTGGGACAGTGGGAGCCGGTTCCCGCAGCCCTGAGGTAGTCACTGCCGGGCACCCCAGCCTATGTCCGGAACTGCAGGTGGGTCGAAGGGGTTGGTGCTCATCTCAGGAACTCCCCCTGTGTCTGGTGCCACAGGGCTCCCTCTGCCCACATTGCCCCCCCACCCCGTGACCTGGCACAAGATGTCACAGCCAGAGAGTGGAGGGGACCTTCCCGCTTCCCCCCAGGATCCCCAACTTGGGTGAGGTACCTCAGCACACAACGCAGAAAGCCAGGAGCATGCACATGGTTTGGGGCGGTCACACCCAACTCAAATCGGGGGGGGGACGAGAGAGACCCCACAGGTGCCCCTGTGACCAGTGTGGGTGCTATGGCCCCTCTGCTGACGGTAGGGCAGACCATGGCTCCCAGACCCACGTTGTAAGAAAGAAACTGCAGAGAGAACCAGCCCCAGGGAGCCACGCGCCCGCCTCTGCGCTGGCTGGCCAGCTGTGGCCGAGTCCTTCTCCACGCCCCCCCCCCCCTTCTCCCCAGTCCTTTCCCCCTGCCCTCCACACGGAACACAGCCCAGCTCCGAGAGAAGGAGTCATGGAGGCAGAAAGTAACAAAGTAGAAGGCAGGAAGGTGGCTGGGACCCAGAGAACCACCCTCAACCCCACCCGAGCTTGTGAGACTGCAGCTGGGGGGCTCCCAGAGAGGCATGACCAAAAGCACGTTGATTCACAAATGCTGTGCTCAACTTCCCGCCCCCGTCCCTGGGCAGGTGACACGGACAATCTGTTCTCCTGCCCGACACAGTGCCTTCCTCCGAGAACCACGACCCTGCGCCTCCAGCCTTTGTCCACCGAACAAAGAGCGATTATGCCCTAATGCCTGTGGGCTCCCGGGCCACGGCGCGTGGGGCGGATACTGCCCGGGAGGGGACACAGACTCAATGGTGGAGGCTCTACAGGCAGAAAAAAGCAAATTAATTCACTTGTCAAAGGTGTCCTCTGTGATAACCGAGTGTGCGGAGGATGCCCTTCATTCTGCTGTGCAGTTCCGTGGGGAAGAGATACACACACAGCCCTGGGTCTGGAGGACTGGATGGTCCATATTTGTTCCTGCTGCATGACGCCAGGCAATTCTCATTGTCCAAAGATGCAGAGTCACCAAAGCAAAGTTGCAACATTTAAATTGGCCACTAGAACTGGGAGAACTTTACCAGAAAAAAAAATCCCAATCAAAATATGGGAGGGGCTGGAGCAATAGTACAGAGGAAAGGGCGTTTGTCTTGCTCGTGGCAAACCCGGGTTCGATTCCCAGCATCCCATTGGTCCCCCGAGCACCACCAGGAGTAATTCCTGAGTGCAGAGCCAAGAGGAACCCCTGAGCATCACTGGGTGTGACCCAAAAAGCAAAAAAGAAAAAAAAAGAAGAAAAAACAAACTTTCTCAGAGAAGACATAAAAATGAACAAAAGGCACATAAAAAATGCTCTATGTCATGAACCATCAGGGGGATGCAAATGAAAACAACCATGGGATATCCTCTCACACCTCAGAGACTGGCACACGTCAAAAAAGAACAAGAACAACCAGTACTGGCACAGATGAGGGGAGAAACCGACTCATTAACTGCTGGTGGGAATGCCGACTGGTCCAGCCTTCTTGGAAAACAATGTGGGCATTCCTCAAAATACTAGAAATTGAGCTTCCCTATGACCCAGCGATACTGCTCCTAGAATTACTCTAGGAGCCCAAAAACGCAGCAGAAATGCCATCTGCACTTCAATATTTATTGCAGCACTATTCAAAATAACCAGAATCTGTAAACAACCCACATTCCCAAGAACAGACTACTGGATAAAAAAAAAAAATTCCATCTACATAATGGAATACTATGCAGCCACAGGGAAAAATGAATGGATGAATCTGGAGAGTATCATGTTGAGTGAAATGAGTCAGAAGGAGAGGGACAAGCTGAATGATTACACTCATTTTGGGGGGAATATATTTTTTAAAACCACAGTATAAAATTAATACCCAAAGTGAGTAGAAATGAGAACCAAGAGGATTGGTCCATGGTAGGATCAATGCTACAAGTGAAGGGCAGGGGAGTTAGGACAGAGAAGGGACCATTATGACAATGATAGTTGGAAATGGTCACTCTGGACAAGAGCTGAATGCTAAAAGTAGGTAAAGGGAATACATGATAACCTTTCAGTACCTGTATTGCAAACCACAATGCAAGAGGGGGGAGGAGAGAGGAGAGGAGAGAAAAGGAGGGGGAGAGAGAGAGAGAGAGAGAGAGAGAGAGAGAGAGAGAGAGAGAGAGAGAGAGAGAGAATATGTCTGCCTGGGGGGTGCTGAAAGGTAACTGGGGGACATTGGTGTATACATGGAACATAGTATACATAGTATACATGTATACATGTATACATAGTATACATGAGATGTAGTATACATTGTATACATGTATACTAGTAAAGAACTAGTTTTAGGATACTGTACAACTGAAACCAATCAGGAACAACTTTGTAACTGTGTATCTCACAGTGATTCACTAAAAAGGAATAAATTGGTCACTAGAAAATATGCCTTCAGATATGTCAACAGATTCCGCCATATTTTCT